GCAGGCACTTATGACACTGACCTATACCCTTGGGGCAGAGCAATTTTCAAAGGTGGCATTTCTCTCTAGTCAAAAGCACTCAAAATATATAAAGAAAAAAGTTGGTTAGAACTTAGGGTATTGTTGTGAGAAAAAAATCTCAATCCAGATGTAAGAATTATTCTTATCATACCTTTTTTCATGTAGTTTTTGCACATAGGGAACATGTGTTAAATACTGATTAAGATTTATAAGCAGAAACACCCAGTTTTTAAAAAATCACATTTACTTAAAAAATATAACTTTACATACAGCATGAAGTTGCTTGAGATCACACAGGTCCACAGCTTAGACAAGTCAGGGAAAGTAAAGTCATAAGTGTGGTCTCTCCAGAGTGGATGGAACCACAGTCTAAGGGGGAGGAGGAGGAGGAACAAAGAACAGTGTGAGTCACAGCAAGGGGAGAACCTCTTGGTAGGTACCAGATAGCATTTTCACCATAGCTCACAGTCCTCATGACCAAACCAGGCTCATAAAATCACCTCCCACCCCCAAATCCTTGCCTTTTTCTACAGCTCAGCTTTTGTAGATCTTATCACCTTTAATCAGAATGTTTTTACTCTCCCTGTCTATCAAAAGAGAGCTAGGCATTTTCCAAGACTGATCTCAGATATTATTTTGCCTTGGGCGCCTTCCGTGGTCCCTAGGTCCACCGTCCCCACCTCCCTCAGGTGCCTTCCCTTCATGACCAAACTTTCTGAGTGTATGATTTTTTCAGAGCATAACTTATTTTGTAACTATATGTCTCTTCTCCCAGTACACCATGATTGACTTGAAGTGGAAAACAAAATTTTGTGTACTAGATGCCTGCATATAATAGGAGCTTGACAACTGCCCATTAAAATAGTAGAGACAGATAATATTGACTGAGAAATACTAAAGAATGTCAATCAAATTTGGAGCACAGGTAAATTTTTTTTTTTGTACTGGGAATCAAACTCAGGACCTTGTACTTGCCAGGCAGGTGCTGTGCCACTGAGCTATATCATTGGACTTGAGGTAAAGTTTAAAGAGCACGTACCATTGTAGAGGCTCATTCTTCTTATCTTCATTGCAGTAAAGATAAATAGTGTAGTAGTATAGTCATGCCATACTACTCAGGAGGCTTGATTAAAATGTCCAGGAAGGGATATACTTTATGAAGTAGGACTTCTTGAGAGACATACTGAGTAGAGATAGTGGGATGGAGTAGGCAGGCAATGTCTTCCTCTTAGAAAGTATTTTTCACTCTCAACACAAGCAAACTATTCAGAGTAATTGCTGCCCTCTAGATTGAAGAAGAGGTAAAGGGATATCTGTAGTCCTGTCGTTAAACCAACTGGAGGAGCAAACAAAAATTCAGGCAAAAATCCTGGGGAGGATAAAAAATTTGCCTTTGGCTGGTGCCCTCCATTGTCTTTCCGAGCACTTGGGCAAAAAAAAAAAAAAATCTAATGATTTTAAATCACACTTGAGTCTATCTTGTGCAGGCAAAACAGTACATATCTGAAGTCTGAATATGGCTTATGGGTCATTACTTTTAAGTACCGATGATTTGGAAGAAGAAAAGGGTACTCAAGGGTCTCTCAGTGATTCAGAGGATAGAAGGCATTCAGTGTGATTCAGAACACTGGTCATACTTTAATATCCCTATGGTCTTGTCTACTTAGAAGGAAGAACAACTAAATTTATTAAAATAGAGTCAGTTCACCATATAGGAAATGTAGCTAAGGGCCATTTTCCATTGTCAGTTAATAAGATGAAAGTGGACAAACATTAACAGCTATTGTATTCAGTTGTTGTGCAGACAAGACAGACATTTTCTGAGCTTCACAAAAAAGTGTAGATGTGCCCATGGGCTACTTTAGAGAATAAAAAATCAAGTTGAAGAGCATTTTTTTAAAGAGTGCTATAAATTTTATTTCAGATATGTAGCACCAGAGTGGCACTGGACTAGAATTCCACTCGATAGTTTTTCCACCTAGAAAAAAATTGAGACAAGCCATTACTAGGTGATTTATACACACACGGTTGATTGTCCATAGGAAGAGTAAAAAAAGCAAAGACACCCAGAGTGATTAGACAACCATAGCTGAAAAACAAACTTCCCAGGTCATGTTTAAGTTTCAATCAATGTTCTTAGCTCAAATCAATTTTTTAAAAATAATAATTTTATAAACCTTGGAAGACTACAGTTGAAATGGCTTAAAATCAATTTTAACTCACTTTCCATTCATACAGCATGAGAGAAGGGAGCCGATGTTAATTGGCTAACTGGAGGAACATTCTCAGGGTTTCCATAGTACTCAAGGAGGTTGATTTCAGCACAGAGAGATATTTCAAGTTTCAAGGGCCGTGTCTGGACTGGGAAGGTTTTGCTACCCCAAAATCCTGTCAGACAAGGAGTGGAAATGCGGTCCAGGGCAGCTGAGGTCTTGGAGTTCCTGCCAAACTTGGGCTAGCAGAGACCAAGAGACCAGATGCCTCCAGACCCCTCGCTTGTGGATTCAGCTTTTCACACTGAGACTGTATCCACAATCCATTAAAAGTGAACCCTTCAGAGGGAAAAGACTGTGAATCAGTCAGGGCAGCCTGGCACTTGCGAGGAGAGTGTGTGTGTGGATGTGTATCTGGGTGAGAGAGAGAGAGCGCGCGCCTGTGTGCTCTCATTAGGGAACGATCCATGATTTGACAGCCTCCTTGCTGCTCCTGCTGCTGCTGCGTCTGCTGCTGCTGCTGCTGCTGCGGCTCTCTGGTCTGTCAGAGTTGAAAAGAGCTGTGAGGCTTAGAGGAACTGCAGTTTTAAAGACTGAATGCTGCTAAGTGGCCTCCCTATCAGAGTATCGGAGATTTGCTGCAGCATTGGAAACTTGGACCTCTTACCACTTCATCTGCTCAGAAAAGCAAGCAGCTCAACAGTAGATAAGGTAAGAGAACAAACTGTTATTTGTTGGGTGTGGGGGACAGAGAGGATGGGAAAATGTAGGTTCAAGAGCTTGGTATTTTATACCAAAGAGACCTCACTGCCTGAGAGCCAAGGAAGCAACAGCTAAATTCCTGCGAAGCTTGAAAATTGAAGATTCTGGCTTTTGTCCGGTACCTTTTTCTTCTTTATTATACTTTTCCAGAGCATTTGAAAGGGTTCTTTGTATTTATTTTTTCAGCTAGTACACATTATTTAGTTTTTTCAGTTGGGCACTGTTTCAAAACAAGAAGCTTTTTCTGTTTCTTTCAGGCATTTTTCTCAATTAAGGGGAACTGGTTTCTCTTAATGTGAGCTGGTCCAAAGAGTTACTGCATCCCACACTAGAGTTGCAATAAAAGTAGTTTTCAAAAGTACAGATAGGAGTCTTATGTTACTGGGAAAAAAATCAGAAGGGAATGGAGAGGAAGTGAGAGTTACCTGTGACTGTGACTTAGTCAGGAATGGTGGCCCTGTGAATGAATATGTGCATAATCTTTCACAGAGAATAGACCCGCTGCGATAAGGTGGGCACTGAAGAGAAGATGTTTTAAGAAGCTGCTGTTTCAGAGACGCTTCAAGCCACTAACGATGGAAAACGAGACAGCTGGAGAGCTGAACCAAACCCAGCTTCAGCCACGAGCGGTGGTGACCCTCGAATACCAAGTGGTCACCATCTTACTTGTACTCATTATTTGTGGTCTGGGCATCGTGGGCAACATCATGGTGGTCCTGGTGGTCCTGAGAACCAAGCACATGAGGACCCCCACAAACTGCTACCTGGTGAGTCTGGCAGTGGCTGACCTCATGGTCCTGGTGGCTGCAGGCCTCCCCAACATAACAGACAGCATCTACGGTTCCTGGGTGTACGGCTATGTTGGCTGCCTCTGCATTACTTACCTTCAGTACTTGGGAATTAATGCATCCTCTTGTTCAATAACAGCCTTTACCATTGAGAGGTACATAGCAATCTGTCACCCCATCAAAGCCCAGTTTCTCTGCACATTTTCCAGAGCCAAAAAGATCATCATCTTTGTCTGGGCTTTCACATCCATTTACTGTATGCTCTGGTTCTTCCTGTTGGATCTCAACATTAGCACGTACAAAGATGCTACTGTGGTATCTTGTGGCTACAAGATCTCCAGGAATTACTACTCACCTATTTACTTAATGGACTTTGGTGTTTTTTATGTTGTGCCAATGGTCCTGGCCACTGTCCTCTATGGATTCATAGCTAGAATCCTCTTCTTAAATCCCATTCCTTCAGACCCTAAAGAAAATTCTAAGACATGGAAAAATGATTCAACCCATCCGAACAAGAATGTGAATTTAAATACCTCTAACAGATGTTTCAACAGCACTGTATCTTCAAGGAAGCAGGTAAGCAAAGCTGAACCTCCACATCAATAGAGCAAATGTAGAATAGAGTCCTCTGTGAGATGAGATCAACTTTGCCCTACTTAGCTGGTGGCAAAACCAAAATATGATCATGCAAATATTTTACAGCTGGAGATTCAGCTTTAAATATTAAATCCATCTCTAAAGCAACTGGAGACCTACAAATAGATGGAGAGAATTTGATAGTGTATCCGCAGGTGTTAGCTCAGGTGCTGTAAAGATTTAAGGAAGTGCAAACAGAAACTCCAGAAATCCACCTTTAAAATGTTTGTGCCTCTCTGACAATGTTATCAGAACACTTAGACCGTTCCTGACCTCTGTAGAGAAAAATCCTCCTGCATGGCGCAAGCTTGTCTTTAAGAATCCTGTTGCACAGCAGAGTTACTAGGAAAGTTTGATAATAGATAGTTAAAATAATGAAACTTCTCCTGCTATCCCGTAGCTACTCACAGCTGAAAGATGCACCTGGACATATTTTTGTTCATCCTTTGAGGAGAGGAGCCTCTTTCTCTGTCCTTTAGCTATCCCAGTACGCAGAAGCTAAAAATGCACTTTGCTTGGGAAATGTTCCAATACAAGTGTTCACATCAAGTTCAGTTTGTTATAAAAAATGATGAATTATTAAATGTCTGTTATTCCAGCTAAGCATAACTAAAGATTTCTTTATCCTTCAGATACCTGAATGCCCATGGGTTATGGTTTAATTATGGTTTTATTAGTAAGTGAAGTGTAACTTCTTTACAGTAAATATTATTGATAAGACAGCCAAGGAATAAAATGCTTTTATATCATGTATACATTTATCTGTATTGATACTATTGTTCTAAGCAAATTATGAACCTAGTTTTAAGTTCCCTTTTCTTTTTCACTGAACATAATAAACAGATGGTAAACATTTATTTTCTTAGTTAGAAGAGAAAACTTGAAATCAACAATCTTGTTTCTTTCAAATGGCTTGAATTTTCTCTTTATCTCTCACTCTTTTCCAGCAGTAAATATAGCTTATTTTATGTGCATAGGTATAACCTGAGTGTACTTTTTAAGTATGCATTTGGGTCATTCACACTATTGCTTCCTAAACTCTAGATAGCTGATAATTGAGCAATTGTAACTGGAGATACATTTGGACACACATGTGAATAAACTACTAAAATGAAGATGTTTTAGATATGTATGAAATAAATAATGAACTGTAACTAAAAAGAACTATATGCAATATTTTATGTGATACTGTGACACTTGATTCATATAGCATTGTTTTTCCAGATACCTAAATGATAGAAGGGAAGACCTGAACAGTTATTACTAGCTCTTACTTAGATTCCCATTGCTCTGGGTCTAGCAATGTTACCTAATATGACACATATTTATCCCTCTGTTACCCAAAACTTGATTAATGGGAATATATAGAGATCTACTGACCATCTGCCAAGACACACATTAACAAATACAATAAGAGAGTAAAGAATGCACATTTCAATTAGAGACCAAATATCACTTAATATCTACAGCAAGGAAGGGCAGTGAATAAACTTACTCACTAGACTCCAATTCCAGTTATAAATTCTAAAAATTACCTGGACTAATGTCCTTTATTTCAGTTACAGTCATTAGTACCTATCAGCCTTAATAATGTTCTTTAAATTGCTAATTATGTTACATGTTTGCCCTGTGATTTCAAAGCTGCCACAGGTGATCTGTCTTTATGGAGGCCGTGTGATAAAAGGAAAGGGCAAAGATTTGGCTGCAGAGGACCCTAACTGCATTTAACTAATGTGCTCTGAAGTCCTTGTTTTAGATGGGATGGAAGTTTAGAGAAAAGAAGGAAAATTATGGGGCTAGAGGGTTAAGAGATTTCATGGGAGAAGTAGCATTTGCGAAGGCACTGGAAGGATGGAGATGATTTGAAAAGTAGTTGAAAATGAACTTCACGTACAAAAGATAAGATAGAGGGGCAGGAGTAAGAATGGTGTGTGTGTGTGGAGGGGAGCTGAGGAGTAGGGTAAGGTTTTTATACGAGAAGTGAGTTGGTTGACTGAAGTGAGTGATGCATTTCAGAGAGTAGTAAAAATAAGATTAGGTGAGACAGAGAAAGACAGAGAGAGAGAGAGAGAGGGAGGAAAAGAGAGGGAGGGAGAGAGAGAGATGAGCTTAGACACAAGGTATTCTTTTTCTTTTCCTGTACTGGGGATTGAACCTATGGCCTTTGCACTGAGCTACATCCCAGTTCCCTTTTATACTTTATTTTGACACAGAGTCTCAGTAAGTCTCTAAGTTGCCCAGGCTGGGCTCCAACTTACGATCCTTTGCCTCAGTCTTCCAATGTGCTGGCATTACAGGTGTGAACCAGAACACCTAGCTTTAGGAAAGGGATTTCGAAGTTAACGTAAAAGAAGCAAAGAGTAACGAAGAGGAAGCAGCAATCATGAAAGTGGTGTTTGGTGATGAGAAATCTGACAACTGTAGGTGTGCAGATCAGAAGATAGAGAGAGCGGCTATAGGAAAACCTCTGTGGGAGCTGTTGGAAGTGTTACAGAAATAAGCAGCAAGATGCTCCACCTGGAAAATTTAAATTAGGCCTTGTTTGTTTGTTTATTTTTCCGGTACTGGGAATCAAACTCATGACCTTGCACTTGCCAGGCAGGCGCTGTGCCACTGAGCTAAATCCCCGGCCCCTTTAAATTAGGCTTTAAAAAAAAAAAAAAAAAATTAGGCTTTAAACCAGAAGGACACTTCTGTGAAAGACTGAGTCAAACGTGAACATAAGAAACATGAAAGATGAAGGGAAGGCAATTCAATATGGCACCAGTTCTACGGTGATGCTTCGGTGCATGGGAATGAGCAGTATGAAAGAAAGCCAGTTTTGCCCCAAACAAGTGACCCACAACCTGGTTCTTCCATTTCCTTTCCCTTAAATCTTCACAAAGGTCAAAGCTCTACCTTCTACAACCCAAGGACTTTTATTTTAATATTTTCTCTGCACTTCTTTTCTTTTAGGCAATCTTAATTTACATTTTAATAAATGCTCACCATGGCCAGGTCTTTCTATCCAAATTATTAAAGTCAAATGTGCATAGCCTAAAGGAAATGCATTTTAGAAAGGAAATAAAACAGCATTTATCTGTAATGGACCAATGCAAGGTTTTTATTTGCTTGTTTATTTTTAACTTATCTTCCTCGTCCAAAAGATCCAAGACAAAATTTCTTTCTATTATTCAGACTTTCAATTATTTTAGGAAAGTACCTTAATGTTAGGTAAATTCAGTGAAACTGAATTCAGTAACTTCAGAAAAGTTACTAAAATTTGTGGCTTGAAATTGTGCAGACGGGAGGACTAGCTGATTGACTCAATTTTTGCCTTACAGTGGGCTATTTTGCTTTTGAGGCGATGACACTTAAATGATCACATTGACTGCATTTCAGTCGCATGTACACAATGCAGAAAGATCTCCTCAGTCATTCAGTGCAGGTTCCCAGCACTATGTAAATAAAGCATCTATATCATTGACTACATACTTCTCCGTAACTGATTGGATCTTCTGATATTTTGGAAGTAAAGAAACACCTGAACCTCTTGATAAAAAGGGGAAAATATCAATAACTATATTCACTTCGAATATTTGTTTTTCACAGGATTCAGAGGCAAGCAGAATACTATAGACATCAGGCTGCTACTTTTATTTTCAGTAAAGTCTGTAACGTCTTTTTCTTTTCTTAGCAGCAGAGCCGGTAGGAAAACTGAACTGTGTAACCAAGTCCTAATAGACGCTCCAAGAGTTTTCATTATGTATTTTATGTGACTAGTCAAGTCCCCAAAATATCAATCTTTGTTTCCATAAAATGCTTAAAAGTCTTCTATCCCCAAGAAACAAAAGCAACTTTTCTTTTTAAAACAATACATGATTTTTAGTGATATAAAAACTATCATTTATATTATAGAAAACACAGATAATTATAATTAAAATGCATATGTAATTGCAGTTAAATTGTATGTATGTTATAGTTAAAATCTATACATGACTTTAGTTAAAATAGTTATTTTAGTTAAAATGTATATCTATAGTTAAAATGTATGGTTAATTATATAGTTAAATGTATATATAAGTTTGCTGCATGCTTTGCCACCCAAAATGTTCAAGTTAATTTTCTCAAAGCAAATGTATGGAGAAAAAGTGATTAGAACTGAGTCAGGTTCTCTTAGAATCAATTTTCTCATCAGTGAAATGGGTAAAACAATTTCCTCATGAAATTGTTGCTAAAATCAACATCAGTGAGATGCCTCAGACAAAATCCATACTTGCTCTCTTGCTGCTTGTCTGATTGGGTTCTTGTCTCTTCCTTCTATGGTTCTCAGTGACCTTCATCTACCTAAGAACCCTCTGGACCCTCTTTTAAGCAATCCCAAGTCGTATGGTGTGCTTGTGATGGATTGCAGCACTCAGATGAGGAAATAGCTTCAAAATGACCTCTGCTTTTCCTTTCCCCCCCCCAACTCCTGCCCCAAGTGCTATTTACATTGAAAAGGGTAAAAATATTTTTACCACACAAGAAGAATGAGGCATTCTGGTGGAATGTCAGGCAGCAGGGTCATCATTTCAGAGCTTGGAGTCCTTTGCGTTGTATGACTTGGGCAATTGCCAATCCCACCTACATCATAGAGAAGTTCTGCTTAACGAAACCATCCTTGTCCTTGGGCAGCTTGGTCAGTGATGGACCTACTAAGCAGAGCAACATATTGCACTAACCTCTTGAGCAGTAGTCCTCAGTTAGAGGTTTCCCTAGCTTACTAGTGTTGTTTTTACAATGCACTTTTTGTTTTTAATTTTTTGTTCCAATTGTTTAGCTTTAACTTCATACTTAATACTGTGCAGATCTATACAAGATCTGAGAGAGAAAGTACAACTTTGTCACTTAGCATAAAAGTAATTAAATGTACCATTTTATTTTTATTGCTAAAGAATACCTATGTTCTGATTCACATC